CTCTTTCTTGTTTATCTTCTTTAGGTGGATAGATTTCAGTATATTCATCCTATCTTATAGGTCTATATATAAGTGAGTATATACCATGTGTGTCTTTCTGATTTTGGGATAGCTTACTCAGGATGATCATTTCTAGGTTCCACCATTTGCCTGCAAATTTCATGCTTTCCTTGTTTTTAATTGCTGAGTAATATTCTGTTGTGTAAAAGTACCACAATTTCTGTATCCATTCCTCACTAAGGGACATCTGGTTGTTTCCAGGTTCTGGCTATTACGAATAAAGCTGCTACAAACATGGTTGAGCAAATGTCCTTGTTGTGTACTTGAGCCTCTTTTGGATATATGCCTAGGAGTGGTATAACTGGATCTTGAGGAAGCACAATTCCTAATTGTCTGAGAAAGCACCAGATTGATTTCCAAAGTGGTTGCACAAGTTTGCATTCCCACCAGCAATGGAGTCCTCTTTCTCCACAACCTCTCCAGCATGTGTTGTTACTTGAGTTTTTGATCTTAGCCATTCTGGTGGGTGTCAGGTGAAATCTCAGGGTCATTTTGATTTGTATCTCTCTGATGGCTAAGGACGTTGAGCATTTCTTGAAGTGTTTCTCTGCCATTCTGTATTCCTCTACTGAGAATTCTCTGTTTAGCTCTGTACCTCATTTTTTAATCGGATTGCTTGATTTGCTGCTTTTTAACTTCTTCAGTTCTTTATATATTCTGGATATCAGCCCTCTGTCAGATGTAGGGTTGGTAAAGATCCTTTCCCAGTCTGTAGGCTGTCGTTTTGTTTTGATGACTGTGTCCTTTGCTTTACAGAAGCTTTTCAGCTTCATGAGGTCCCATTTGTCGATTGTTGCTCTTAGAGCCTGTGCTGTTGGTGTTCTGTTCAGGAAGTTGTCTCCTGTGCCAATGAGTTCCAATGTCTTGCCCACTTTTCCTTCAAACCGATTTAGAGTATCTGGTTTTATGTTGATATCTTTGATCCACTTGGACTTTAGTTTTGTGCAGGGTGATAAATATGGATCTATTTTCATTTTTCTGCATGTAGACATCCAGTTGGACCAGCACCATTTGTTGAAGATGCTGTCTTTTTTCCACTGAATGGTTTTGGCTTCTTTGTCAAAAATCAAATATCCAAAGGTATGTGGGGTTAATTTTGGGTCTTCTATTTGGTTCCATTGATCCACTATTTTTTCCTATGCCAATGCCATGCCATTTTTATTACTATTGCTCTGTAGTACAAGTTGAGATCAGGGATGGAGATACCTCCAGACGAGCTGTTGTTGTACGAATCTGCAGCTTCTAAAGCTGGCTCAGCCCATGGCTGAACAACCCCAACATATGTACCACTCAAAGTGTGTGCCAGTTCTGGCTGAAGCCTGTAGATCCGATGAAGAAGAAAAGATATGGTTCTTTCATTGCCAGGAGAAAGCCCGAAGCCTACCCTTTTTTCCCATGAACCAGGACAGGAATCAAGTCCACCACTCTGTCCTAATTCCTCCCTCAGCATGCAGGCTCAGACTCACTGGCATTTCTGCTGTCCAAAGACACAAAGCCCAAATCCAAACCATTACTCAGGTCACATGATTGCACGACGGACCCTCTCTACTTATTTCTGTTTCTTCTCTTCAGCTGCATATTTCTGTCTGAAGGTTTTCTTATTATTCACCCAAGAAATGTGAGATACGGAGAATACAAGATAGAGGATCCAGAACCCTGCACTCATACAAAAATGACATTTGTTCCCTCCAAACTCTGGTAGACCAGTAACCACTGGTCTCTTTCTCCTAAAGAGTAGACTCCTCAGTTATCACTGGACATAATCCCACATGGGAACCACACACAGGCACTTCTCTACTGCCCAGCTTCTTTTGATGTTATTGTAGCCAATGGAATTTATGATTAGTGAGGTGAATGACAAAATACCAGATGGGGCTCCTTGGAAGGCCTTTCAACAAGTGGAAGTGCATCTGGGTTTAGACCTTCCTGCTCCTTGCTGAGCTGACACTCGGCAGCTGATGCTTAAGTCAGCCTCTACTTTGATGTGGTGAGTCAGTAGGGTACCAAGACAAGGGCTTGTTCTTGATGGAGTTGGGATAGCTGGGAATGTCTCTCTTTAGAAAGCCCAACCAAGGACTGAACACTCAACTGACACACAGAAAATTAGAACCTTTTTCAGTTTTTCTTTCATTTTAATATTTTATGTGTAATGCAAACATGCTCTTACTATTTAGCCTATCTACAAATATAAGGTGTGTGTTAAATAACTATATCATTGCAAGTATATGAGGCATGTAGGTAGTGTCTCTTTTATGGGTAAGAAAACAAAGGTGGAGAGGTGTTGCATATCTAACAGCATAACATCAAACTAGCAAGCAAGAAAGTTGCAAATTCCTGTTTGCTTTCCAGACTTTCATTCTTTCCTAAGCCATCATTATATCATGTGTAGGGTAAATCTCTCCTTGGGTGTCTATGGGTAAATCTCTTAATCTCTTTTATCTCCACTTAAAATTCAGTTTATGGACCTCTGTCTAGGATGTGTACTTCTGTGAGGATAAGTGGGCTTATTGTTGAGCAAAGAATTGAAGCCCTTGGAAAAGAATCGCTCTATGATTCATGTACACAGGCAAAATGATTTAGACAGTTACATAGGGAGCTTTGACTTACATAGTTACACTGTAGTCCAAACTAACAAAGTAGTTTGATCACAAACTGTAGTAGTTTAAGCCTATTTGTAAACTTAAACACCAAGTCAGTCAATCCTGTCCTGTTTCTGTTTGACCCGTGTGGCTGTGTGACACAGCCACTTCAGCATTTTCAGCGTTCATCTGAACTTGTGTTTTAATAAAGATGTCTCCTATTATATAAAGGAAAAATTGCAACTTGTGTGGTTTTACCCACTCTTATGAAAATTTGCCCGTGCATGGAATCTAAAAGCTATTATTTGCAGTAAGACTTTGTTATGATTCATGGACCATGGAGGAAGATTTTACTTCCTGTTCAGTGTCCTCTCATTTTTCAAAGTAATGTTTGCAATTCTGTGACTGAAGAAGTATGAGAACACCTCAAAGATGCTAGACCACGGTACAAATCTGGTACTGAAATATCTTAACGGCTATCCTCAAGGGTTTGATTCCTCATTATCTGCAAGCATGTTCAAAAGCTGATTGTGTGAAGCTCTTTGGATGTTCCTATCTCTGCTATACTTAATCACCACAAATGTAAACCCCCAATCAAAAATTCCACTATAATGCTCATTGTCTAAATCCATAGTATGGTGGTGAATGTTGCATTTCTTCTAAAGACCGTAGAATCATTTTTGCTTATCCAGGCTGTCAGGGGTGGAAACCTGTTCCCTTGTTCCCTTACATGACCAGAACAGGATCTCTGACTGCTGCCCTTTCCAGTCTTCAAAGCATCGTCCCTCATCGAGGTCCACCTCTCCTTTGAATCTTACCTGCACCCATGATGATTATCTGTCTCTAGCCACCCCTTTGTCTTTCTTTTCCTCTTTTATTTAATTTTAAATGCTCTGGCAATGTGTTTGCTTCTACACAGGTTAATTCTGTCGGTTTATCTCTCTATTTTAAAATTAACACATCAGGGCTGGCAACAAGGCTCAATTTGTAAAGGCTACTGACACTAAGCTTGACAGAATGAGTTCAATCACCAGAACTTACACAGTGGAAGGAGAGAACTGATCTCCACAAGTTGACCTTAGATTGCCATAGGAGCTGCATATCACATATGTTTTTTTTCTCTCTCTCTCTCTAACATTTACATACGCTCCCATACAAATAAATGAATGTAAAACGGTTGACAAACTAGGAACCTGAATTTAAAATTTCATTTTTTTTTTCACTTGTGATGGTAGTTCTTGTTTGTCAACTTGTCAGAATCTAGAATCACCTGGAAGCCAGGTTCTAGACCCTCAAAGGAGGGTCTTGCTAGATTGGGTTGTGGTAGGAAGACATGTTCTAAATGTGGGCAGTACTATTCCAAGAGCAAGGATATTGGAGTTTTGGAAATGGAGAAAACAAACTGAGACGTCTTTCTGCTTCCTGACTGTGCACACAATGTGAATAACTGCTTGGCCACCATGCTGTCCTCTCCACGATATACTGCACTCTCAAACTTCAAATAGAAGCCAGCACACACCCCTCATATCTTAAATTGCTTTTGTCATACATTTTATCACAGCCACAAGAAATGCAACTAATATATCACTTAACATAACGAAGCCACAGGTTTCCAGGGCAAGAACTTGAGCCCTCTGGGCATAGTATCTAGCAAGCAGTAAACATTTAGTCAATAGTAATAGTAGCCACTATACATGCTTACTCTCTGGCAGGTATTGATCAGCATGCTTTATGAATATTTATGCATTTCATCCCCATAACAAGCTTCTCATCATGAGGCAATAACTGTTATCATCATCCCCTTAACAAATAAAGAAATAAGACACAGAAATGCAGGATGCTTCATGGAGCCAGTCAAACACAGAATGAAAATAAGAACCCAGGCAGAGCAGGTCCAGAATCCAAGCACCTAATTAAGCTTCCTTCTGTCCCTTCATTTCAGTATTATAAAGAGAAAACAAAGGAAGCATTTGCTGAAATCAAATTCAGGAACAGCTAAGTTATCCCAATGTAGAAGACAACAGTATGTGCACTTCTTTTGCATGCTCGGTAATTTTACCATCTTCTCTTTTGTCTTGGGTTGTAGTCTCACATCTGGGCCTTGCATTCCTTAATCATTCTGGTTATGTGTCCCCAGAAGACTATCTTTGGCACAGCAAAGCATTTTATGTAGAAAACAAATGTTTGAAAATCTGACTAATATTGTAATTGAGAATTAAAGACAAACCATCAGTGTTCTGATCTGTAAATGGCATATATTTCACTGTATGCTGAAGCATTACATTTTACACTAAAAACCTACTTGCTGATCAACACAGGAGGGAAGAAGAAAGCAAAGCAGAGTTTTATAGAACAGAATACCTCGCCTGCTCCCGCACAATGGTGTCTCCCTTCTTCCAGAAAGAAAGTGCCCTTGGAGAGGCTCTGGGTTTACAATCCAAGATCACCAGGCTGCCCACCTGCACCTGAACCAATTTTTTCATAGGGTTCCTTGAAAAATCGGGAGCAGAAGCTGAAGAAGAAAGAAAGACAATTATGGTGTTTACTTAACAAGTAGATATTTAAAGAAAAATTCCTGTAATTTGAATGATCCACCATATCTGTGTCTCTAAATTCTGCATGGCACAGGGGATGTTGATGCTTGGTTTAATGTAATTGATATGCAAGAATGCAATGCTGAAAATTAATTTGGGCTATTGTGTTTGATGTCAAGTTCTAAACCTCAGGACTCTTTCCTAACATGGAGACTTTTAGAAATATTCACTGTGAAGATTTAAAATACCTCAAGCACAAGTGTATTAAAGGAGACTATTTACCATAGCATGTTTAGGAAAGTTGGTTCAAGCATGACCATGTTGGACGCAGTTGGTCCTTTGGGTACAGCACCTGGTGAGGATCTGTCACTAAGAGGCTGCTAGCCCAAGGTACTAGAGTGATGGGTGAGTTCTGAACAAATTGTTCAGAAGGTTGTGCCATAAAATTCTCATATGATTAAATTTAACTTCCAAATTGAGGAAAGAAGACATAACATAGCTGTGATGTTCAATCATGTAACATCATATTAAATACAATGTGCAGAAAATATTATGCTTCCTAGTCAAGCCTGTGATGTCAATTTTAGGCTACCTAGTAAGGTGTAAGGAACCATTTAAATGAAATGATATGCTAATCAGAAAGTCACTATTCCTCTTACTACACATGTGTGAAAATCTTAACAACCTGATTATCTTTTCAAATATAGAATAGTCTCTTCAAAATAAGACAGGGTCTTCTTTCTAGCCAAGACTGGCTTCCAGTCACAATTATCTTATTATAATATGCGTGTTTGACTACTACATTTAAGGCTAGGAACCATCATGGATGAGATGGGCAGGAACATTTTAAGATCCAGAGAGCCCAAGATATATTCTGTAAGATTAGAGCTTCTGGCTATGAGAGGGAAGCTGGATTCAAGAAATCTCATCAACATGGCTACTTATATAAGACCTTAACAGTCCAAAGAAGAGCTACTTTCCCATTTTAGATGGGACATTTCATAGGATCCAACTCCTATGTGTAAAGAAATTAACAACTACCAAGAGAGGGAGATTAGTCTTCCCCAATAATAAGCCCTATGGCTGGTTGTCTAATATGAATGGCCAGTCCCAGAAACACATACACGTCGGCAACACTGAGCAGATTCAGCACGTTGTATTTATATGTTTATTTGTTTATATATATATGTAACAGCAATAATTAAAAATAGAGGAGGTTCTGATCCTTGCAGATAGGGAATATATGAAGAAAAGGGAAGGGAAAAATGATGTAATTATTTAATTAAATAAAATAGATGTTATTCTGAATTGGCCTTGTGAATTAAAATCCTTTAAAAAATGTTTTATTAAAACAACATGAATCAATTTATATTTTAATACAATTTTTAACTTAGACATCTTCTATTTTCCTATATAACAACCTGTAACACAATAGCCAGGAAGCTATCCTTTTAAAAGAGGAATTAGACTGTGACTCTGTGGGCTTTCATTCTATAGAAGACTGTGGTTTGGCTTCTATTTGTGTGCATTCACTCCTGTTTTTGTTGTGACTGCCACTTCTCTGCCACAGGTAGCAGAAGACCGATTTTCACCAACAATCCTAGCAGTCATCCTAATACACATGAACAATTGCCAAACTTCATGTGACAGAGACCTCTTCTCCATTGATCTTGGGCTCCTCAACATCTCTCGGCACTTTGAACTGCATAATCATTTGTTGTGGGAGACTCTCATGAATTGTAAAATGTTTGGCAGCCTATCTAGCCTCTACCATGGAAGCAATAGCACACAGGCATCCCAACCTTTCCCAAAATACTAGTTATAACAACAAAAATTATCCCAAAATATTTCAAAGCATGCCCAGAGTGAAAACATTCTTAAGCTGAGATCCACTGACAGATAAAGCAGAGCCTCGTGATCAAGACATCTGTACCAGTTCACTGATGGGCAATGACACAAATAAGGATTCATGGGGCCAATGACACTTGAACTTACACAACTAAGAAGGTCACACTTGCCCCGCTGAACTATTGTGGTGGTGAACACAGTGAATTGGGGAGTATTCCAAGGAAATGGGGAAATAAATGGAGATAGTTTAGTCCTGGCTCCAGTTATGCCCAAATCTAAACTTACTGTCTTAATTTCTTGAAACAATGAGTTCTTTTTTTCCTCCATCTCTTTCTTTTTATTAAGTATTTCTGCCATGCTGTCAAGTTACCATTGTATTTTCTTTTGTTTGTTTCTTTTAAAATTTTATTTATTTATTATATATACTGTCCTGCCTGCATGTACATGTGCTTGCCAAAAGAGGGCACCAGATCTGATTTTAGATGGTTGAGAGCTACCATGTTGCTGGAAATTGAACTCAAAAACCTTTGGAAGAGCAATCAGTGCTCTTAACCTCTGAGCTATCTCTTCAGGCATTACCATTATATTTTTAATCATTTGCTATGCTAGTGTCCTTGGTATAAATGCCCTAACCACCACAAGGTATTTTTTTTCCTCTCTAGACCAAAGTTCAGGAAAAAGACAATAAATCATAATCTCAATGAGCAGATCACGGGCTAATTATGTCTTCAGTATGCCCAACACATGAACTTCCAAAAAGTCAAAGGCAGTTTCTGAATCAAATACCATGGATTCCAACTTTATAATGTATTTTTGTGACTGGCAATGCAGAAGACAAGCATCGTGGTAAGAAGCATTTCTTAATCTAAGATACCGTGGCTGGGTCATGGTCTGGCAGATGTGAAGGACCTCCTTTTCCTGGTTTAATTCAACTTTGAAATTTAATTCTGGTTGCTACGGCTGTTTTTCATTTAACATCATTGTAAATACATGTGTTTTGGTTTCGGTTAGGTTGATATTTTTTGCTTGATTTGCTTTTAGAGACAGGGTACTCTGTAGCCCAGGTTGGCTGGTCAGATGCCTGGCATTCCCTTCCTAACTCTGCTTGGCCTCAACTTTGTGGAAATCCTCCTGTCTTGGTCTCCTAGGTGCTGTGAGTCTAGTGTATTATTTATGTAGAAACCCTAAATAAAAAATTAAATAAAAATATATTGTAGACACTGTTAGGTAATAGAATGGAGTATTAAAATGCCATTATCTTAGATTCTGGTAACAATGACAGAATTAAGGGAAAAATAGTAAGATTAAATACATTAAAGAATCAGCCTTACCTACGACCTTGAGCTCAGCGCTGGAGTAAATGAGCCCATGCTTGTTCTCTGCTATACACTGGAACATTCCAGAGTCAGTCACGTTGAGGTTGGATATTGTAAGGGCACCATTTTCAATCTGTATTCTCTCCTGGAGAGAAAATAAAGTTTTTTTTTGTTTGTTTGTTTGTTTGTTTTGCAGATAACTAAACTTTTAGGATTAAAATAAACACTACTGACTATCATTTCAATCAGAGAAAAGATGTTGCTATTTTCCTCAGACTACTAGGCAGTCTGACCTGAAACTTAACCTTTTTCTTTTATGAAATGGAAAAAGATGCTTCAGATATACAAGCGAAATATCAGAAAATAATTATCAAAACCAAAGGTGAAGTGTACAGTCATGTCATTTTCATCTATGGTTAGTGACACAGACTGTTTAAAAAAAAATGTACCAAGAGGTTAATTTTCATCCTGGGAGTTGGAAACATTTTCATCAGAATATTTTTCAAAATCATGTAAGCTTAAGACATTATATATTTAGTGCATAAAACAGTGCTAATAGCATATAGAAAACTCCCATACGTACCACAATTTTGTTGTTGTTGTTTTTAACCAATTATAATGGTTATATATAAGAACATAAAGGCATGCAATTGAATAAGAAAGTAAGTGCTTATTTCAGAAGGTAGCCAATCTATAGATTTATTTATTCTCCAAATACCAGACCAAGGTTTAAACAGAAAAAATAAATTAAATTTCTTTTTTTTTAATTTCATGATTTTTCATTGTTCTTATTAGTATTATTAGATATAATTTATTCACTTTGTATCCCAGTTGTATCCCCCTCCCTCATCTTCTCCTGGTACCACCCTCTCCCACTCACCACCCATTTGTATTCCCTAGTCCACTGGTAGGGGAAGTCCTTCTCCCCTACTTTCTGTCCCTAGCCTATCAAGTCCTAGCAGGACTGCCTGGATCCTCTTCCTCTGTGGGCTGGCTAGGTCACCCCACCAGGGAGAAGTGATCAAGGAGCACGCAACCGAGTCCATGTCAGAGAATGTTTCTTCTCCCTTTACTAGGGAACCTATATGGAGACTGAGCTCTCTATGTGCTACACCTGAGCAGAGGGTCTTTTCCTCTCTATGTATAGCCTTTGGTTGATGCATCAGTCTCTGCAGTCCCCGCTGGACCCTGCTTTTTGGCTTTGTTGGTCTTCTTGTGGGGTTTCTCCCGCCTCTGGGTCTTTTATATTACCAATCTTCCATAAAACTCCTTATGGTCTGTCCAAAGTTAGGCTGTGAGTCTCTGCTTCTTCTTTGATCTCTGCTAAATGGAGTCTTTTAGAGGAAAAGAGAGCCTACAACTGGAAAAAGATCTTCACCAACTCTACATCTGAGAGGGATAATACCCAGAATATATAAAGAACTCAAGAAATTAAACACTAAGAAACCAAACAACTCAAATGAAAAACGGGGTATAGAGCTGAACAAAGAATTCTCAACAAAGGAATATTGAATGGCAGAGTAACACTTAAATGCTCAACATCAGAAAAATGCAAATCAAAATGGTTTTTTTTTTTATATTCCATCTCAAAACCATCCAAATAGCTAAGATAAAAAAAAAAAACTCAAGTGATAACACATGCTAGAAAGAATGTGGAGGAAGGGGAACCCTCCTGCCTTGCTGGTGTGATGTAGAATTGTAAAACCACTTTGGAAATCAATCTGGTGCTTTTTCAGCACTGGGAACAGTGTTACCTTAATACCCAGCTGAACCACTCCTGGGGATATATCTAAAAGATGCTCAACCATACAATATGGATATTTGCTCAACTATGTTCATTACAAGTTTATTTGTAATAGCCAGAATCTGGAAACAACCTAGCTGTCCCTCAACCAAAGAATGGTACAGAAATTTTGATACATTTACACAATGGAATACCACTCAGATATTAAAAATAAGGAAATCATGAAATTTGCAAGCATATGGATGGAACTAGGAAAGATCATCCTGAGAGAGGTAACCCAGAAGCAGAAAGACATACTCACTTATAAGTGGATACTAGACATATAATATAGGATAAACATACTAAAATCTACAGACCTAAAGAAGCTAAACAACAAGGAGGACCCTAAGGAAGATGCTTATTTCTCATTCAGAAGGGAAAACAGGACACACCCTGGAAGAGATAAAAGAGAGGGAAGAGAACTAGAGCCTACCACAGAAATTCCCTCTTTTTAAAGTGTTTATTTTCTTTTTTAAAATTTATTTTTAATTTATTCACTTTACATCCTTATTGTAGCCTCCTCCTTCATCGCCTCCCTGTTCTATCCTACCAATCTCTTTTCCTCATCCCCTTCCTCTAGTCCTCAGAAATGGGGATCCCTCCTTTCCTACCATCTGACCTCAGCCTATCACCTTCTCATCAGGACTGCTTGGATCCTCTTCTGTGGCTTGGCAAGGCCACTCTACCAGGGATATGTGATCAAAGAGCAGTCAACAGAGTTCATGTCAGAAATAGCTGCTCCTGCTCCCCTTAGTGGGAAACCCACATGGAGACTGAGCTGTCTATGGACTACATCTGGGAGGCAATCTAAGTCCTCTCCATGCATGGTCCCTGGTTGGTGCATCAGTCTCTGCAGGCCCCCTGTGCCAAGATTTGTTAGCTCTGTTGGTCTCCTTGTGGTGCTTCTGTCTCCTCTGGGTCCTTTTATCACCCCTTCTTTCATAAGACTCCCTATGTTCTGCCCAATGTTTGGCTGTGAGTCTCAGCATTTGCTTCTATCCCCTGCTGCTGGAGTATTTCAGAAGACATTTATGGTAGGCTCTTATCCTGTTCTCTCTCTTCAGCTGCTTCTGGTGTCTGTTCTATTTGCTCTTCTGATTGAGAATTAAGCATCCTCCCCAGAGTCCTCCTTGTTATTAATCATCTTTAGATCTGAGTATTGTAGAGTGGTTATCCTATAATATTTGGCTAATATCTGCTTAGAAGCAGGTATATACCATGTGTATCTTTCTGGGTCTGGGTTACCTCACTCAGAATGATCTTTTCTAGTTTTATCCATTTGCCAGCAGATTTCACGGTTTCCTTTTTTAAGCAACTGAGTAGTATTCCATTGTGTAAATGTACCACAAAATTTTCTTTATCCTTTGTCCAGTTGAGGGACATCTAGGTTGTTTCCAGATTATGGCTATTATGAATAAAGCTGCTATGAACACAGTAAAACTTTCTTCAATGCAAATACTCTGGTGTGTGTGTGTGTGTGTGTGTATGTGTGTGTAGATTTGGGTAGATGCCCATGCACATATGTTAAAAGAGGCCAAAGGACAACCTTGGGTTTCTTTCCACAGATGTTGTTCATGCTTTGTCCTTCTCTGTGAGACAGTGTCTTTCACTGCCAGATATCCATGTGTTTCTACCTATCCAGTGCCAGAATCCTAAGCACTTACTCTCACATTCAACACTGTTTTAAACATGGTTGCTGAGGACTTGACTCAGGTCCCTGTTTCAAGGCAACCTCATTACCTTCTGAGCTTCTGCTGGGCCCTGGTGTCTAGAGGCTACCGGGAGCATATGTTCAAAAGTACAGAAAGAGCCGGATGGGATAGGTGCATCACCTCACCTCTAGTACTAAGGCGTCTCCATTTTTGAGCCATCGGTAGGAGGGCTTGGGCTTCCCACTTGCCCGGCATTCCCAATAAAGACTGTCCTCCACAGCTATTTCCACATCTCTTATCAGTTGAACCCAGTGAGGTTTTGCTACAATAAAGAAAACAAACAAACAAACAAACAAACAAACAGATAATAGGAATACCAAAAAAAAAATCAAATCACACAGTGATAATAAAAAATAAGTAAATAATAAATGGCTTAAAATGATTATCAGATTGCAATCCATAGATTAACGTAGGCTAGACTAGAATTACATTTAGCTCACTGAATGGTTACATAAGACATTTCAAGATCTAACAATGATGCTGCAATGCTTTATATCTTGAGCCAACTTCCTTGTACTTTCTGTTTCTGAACTCCTGAATGCTATATTGCACTCTTCAGATGTCTATCAATGGATCCTAATACAAGTACAGAAAATTCCTTTCCCCATGCATATTTTTGAATCATAAGATCGTATTGCATGACAACTTCAAAGTGAATGACAGCAGCTATTTGTCTTAATGATGAACAAAATATTAATAGCTATAGGAAAGACGCACCTATGGCTAAGAAAAACATTTACTTACAAGTTAGAATACCTCTCACTTAAATAACAAAGTAATGAATACATCACACAACTGTTTGTGCATTAAAATGAAAGCACTAAAAGAGAAATAAATAGTCTTAATGTGAACTGCAATTTTTTTTTTTTATCAGAAAAAGATGTGATCGAAGCAACTTCAGATTATGTATGCTAACCATTTGGATGGAGGAGATCATGATTTTCACTTAGTTGTGCAAGGAACCTGGGAAGCTTTTTTTTTTTTTTTTTTTTTTTTTTCAGATGAAGCTGGCATACCACTTTTGAGAGAAACCACTCAAGATACATAGTATATTTATCCAATTGCCAGCTTGCATTTCAGATCGTAACCTGGAAGGTGAGATGTCTTAGTGGTTTCACATTGCATTATGCATGTGATGTGTGCCACAAGATCTGCATTTGCATTCTCCATACGGAGCAGCAGTTTATCTATTTCTGTTTAATTGCAACCCCAGGAAGATTTGTCCTACCTTTCTGTCTCCTAAAATTGCTCTCTCCCCACATCCTGCCATCTTTTGTAAATGTCATTGAAAGAAAACTATGGCTACTCAGCTTTTGTTGTTGTTATTATATATATAGTTTTTCCAGTATGAAATACAGTTTGCCCCAAATGACTCCTCCTACTTTATATTAAAATTTCTTTTCTTATTTCAGCAATCATCAGATCCACCTGGAAGGAGACTGAAGCTGGATGTGACAGACACTATTGAGCAAGGCCCAAGTATCCAGTGGGACTCTATATGGGTGACCGCCCATCCTCATATTCTTTTTAGAATGGAACAATAAGTTGGTGTTCCAAACCAATACTGAGATTACAACCGTCACATTAGTCATGCCTTTCCTTCCCGGACTATAACCTGAGATTCAAATCTTCTATCATATAATCAGATGACTACATGACGCTCATTGATGCCTTCACATATTTGTAGGGCACCTTCCATTAAGCTCTCTATGGTGTTTACTTAAAATTTATTCTTAGGTACATAAAATATTATCTACAGAATAAACCAAGTATAGCAGATGCTATTGGTTTCCTCTTGTGAATTAATTTCCGTTCTTACTTATGACTAAAATATCACCAATATTTCATGCTGCTATCCTGCCTTCTGTCAGCTCACATTGTCCATAAAACCTATGGAGGACCAATTCTATACCCTCTTCTAAAAGGAGGCTCTTACACTATCTAATCCTACTTTACCTTGCTACTAAGGGCCTGAGAGATAGCAGGGGGTTAGTAAAGGCGTTGTAGAACAGAAGGATGTGAGCAACTGGTGTGCTGCTCATTGGTGGCAGCCACCTTGTGATTGTGGTGGAAATTGATATGTAGAAAGAGGAAACAACAACAACAAAGAAAATCCAAGCAAGGAAAAATAACATAATTTAAAAAAAAAATTAAAAAAAGGAGAAATCTGAACCATGGCCTAATGTTAAGTACTTGAATGTCAATTTAGCTTTGGATATGTTTTCCTAGGGGGCATATGGCTATCATTTGGAAAGAGATTATGAGGCATAGAATTAAAAGCACTGAAACATTTAATAGCGGTTGTCAACCTGTGGATCATAATCTTTTGGGGGTTGAATGATCTTTTTCCAGTGGTCAGATAAGACTATCTTCATACTAAATGTTTACATTGCGATCCATAACCGTAGCAAAATCACAGTTTTAAAGTAGCAACAAAAATAATTTTATGGTTTGGGGGTCACCACAACATGAGGAACTGTATTAATGGGCTTCAGCACTGGGAAGGTTGAGACCCACTGATATAACAAGTCAGAATTTTCTGTGTTTTCTCTGAGTGGCCACTTCTGAGTGTGCTCTGATAAAGAAATAGGTGAGCAGAAAGAGGAAGCTAAGAAAAGCTATGGAATGAGCGTTTTTCATTGTGTGTGGGACTCAGAGCTGCTCAACCATGGGTAAAGTAATTATCTTACCACTACTACCACCATCAGCACCATTTCCATATCACATCACCAACTCACAGCTACAGACATAGAGGAGGTTTTTTTTTTGTTGTTGTTGTTCATTTGTTTGTTTGTTTTATATTAAAATAATTATGAGACAAGGTGTGAAGTTACAAAACATGACTCCCCCTATTAAAACATCTTTCATTTTCCCAAGACCGGGTAACCTAAGCAGTATTGGTCTTGTCAGAGGTAGCATACTTGGCAACTTTACAGTATTGAGGGAGAATCCATAACAGTTTCTATAGTCTTAACAGTTGTCTTAGTGAACAGTTTCCTTTCCCGAAACATTTACGTACCCTGTACACATTGCCATGAAGAACTCTTTCAATTACCAGCGACTAAAATAAACAGGCTATAATGCAATTTGCCTTTCATAAAATTGGTGAATTGGTACTAGGTTTACAATGTTTCTAATAATTAAACTGCAAATGTATTCAATAGCTTCCATTTTTGTGCATCTTACAGATGTATTTTGTACAATAACATATTAGTACTTTCCAAAACATGTTTTCATTAAAACCTAATGGCATGTTTTAAACAAAAGAAATTTGAAAAGAAAAGAGAATATTTAATTTTCTCAAAAAAATATCTTCTTAAAAAGAAAAACAAACAAACATATGATTCTTTCCTTCCCTAATTGAGCAGTATATCAGACAAATGTGATTGCAAAGTCAAGGCAGCAAATAGACTACAGACACATTATTTACATTTTTGGGCAGGGCTGAGTATCTCCATCCAAAACAACATCCTCAGTTTATTTGTTTTTTCCTAATGCAAAAATTGCAACTATTCTTAATAAGCAGCTTTATTATGCCTTTCAAATAAGCACAAAAAAATCAGCTCTCCTAGAAGGGAAAGCAGGGAGAAAGAGCTGTCTCGATGATTAAGTGTGTGAAAGGTCATGCTTATAAAAAAAATATGTGAAAGATTTCATTATCATATGAATCACTTTTAAAATCTAAAAAGAGTGTGTCTTCAAGTTGGCTGCGAAGTTGCTTTTCTTTTTAATTTCTTTCCTCTCTGATGTTTGCCCTTGCTTAACAAAATGAGACTAAAACATTGAAATGAGAAATTAAATCCTGATTTTCTGCTATAACTACCCCCACCCCCTAAAACTGCTACGAGAGAACAATAGCTACAAGGGCAACTTTCCCCACTTACCATAGTAAGTGAGCCGGCCTCTTGCCACATTTCTTCCTCGTGAATTTTCAGCAATGCACTCATAGGAGCCTGTATCTTCCTGTTGGAAGTTTGGGATTTCAAGCACACCATTGAACTTCCTCAATTTAATTTTGTTGGGAAAGGGCATCCCATCACTTCTTCTCCAATTAATCTGAGGAACAGGGCTGATAAGAAAAATTTCAAGTTGTTTCCTGTTCTTTGGAAACCTAGTAGACTCAATGAAAGCAAGCTTTGGGTAAGAGAAGAAATGATATTACTCTCATTGCAGAAGCCTTTCAGCTGCAAGTTATTTAAGGAAGATGCAAAGACTTAATTCTTGTTTTGATGCAAGGTCTCACTATACTTAGTGTATTGTGCAGATCAGTCTTAGCTAGAAAAATAAAACATGATAAAGACATTGCAGAGATAAAAAATGGGAAAGGAATTCAAATTATCTCTATTTGCAGATGACATAGTTGTATACTTAACAGGCCCTATATAATCATTTTTAGTAAAGGTGGAAGGTTTAAAATCAATACATGAAAATCAGTAGTTTTCATATATACTAATAGTGAACTTTCAGAGAACAAATAATAATAGCTTCATAACACAAAGTAACTAAAAGTAAGCCTAGCCAAGAAGGTGATGGAAAGACACTAAATGACTGACAGACCTCTCATGCTCCTGAACTGAAACAATGAGTACCATGGAAATGACTGTGCTCCAAACTTAATCTACAGATTCAGCGCAATTCCTATAAAAATACTCCAGTGCCATCCATCAAAAAACCAGAAAATGTAATTCAAAAATTCTTAAGGATCTACAAAAGACCAGTTTTAGTCAAAGCAATCCGAAGGAGAATATGAATAAATTGGTGGTACCACTAGTCTGTCCCCAAATTATACTAACAAGTTACAAAGTAAGACTTACAAAACAGATAGGCAGACAAATGGAAGAGACTAAAGAACTCCGATATAACCAACAAAGCTGTGGCCACATAATTTTCAGCAAATTGGTCAAAACATATAGAAAGAAAACAGCTTGTTCAAGAAATGGTGCTGACAAAACTAGATATCCACCTGCAGTAGAATAAGGTTTGATTCAAATCTGTTATTCAGTATCAACAACAACTCAAAGCACAACAAACACTTAATTTAAAGTCTAAAGTGCTAAAACTTCTAGAGGAAAACATTGGAGATGTACTTCTAGATACAAGTATAGCCAAGACTTTCAGAACTCTAAAGGTATGGGAACCGGCCCAAAGGATCAGTAAATGGGACTGCATGAAATTAAAAGCTTCCTGTACAGCAAAAGAGACTAAGCAGTCTACAGAATGCAAGACAATCCAACAAGATATAACAATAAAAAGGGGTAATATTACAAATTTGCAAAGAATTACCAAGATTAAACAGCAATGAAATGAAACTACTAATGAACAAATGGGTAATGAAATCAAAGGAAGAAATACAAATGCTGATAATATTTTTTAAAATGATCAAACTTCCTAGTTGATTATCATAGAAGTGCAAAGTAAAACTACTATGAGATACCAACTTATCCCAGCCAGAATGGCTATCACAGGAAAACCAGACAAGAGATACAGGGGAAGATGTAGAGAAAGAGAGACCTTTATTCATGGCTGGCGGAGGTATAGCCAATATGGAAATTAGTACGGAGGTTTTGAAAAAGAAAGAAAGAAAGAAGAAAGAAAGAAAGAAAGAAAGAAAGAAAGAAAGAAAGAAAGAAAGAAAGAAAGAAAGAAAGAAAAAGTATCTCTGTCTCAGAGATACTTGCTTATTCATGTTCTCTGATACTCTGTTTCGGATATTAAAGAAATGCAACAAGTGTGATGAAAATGTGGTGCACAGCCAGGCACAGTGGCGCATGCACGCCTGTAATCCCAGCAATCAGGGAGGCAGAGGCAGGCAGCTCTCTGTGACTTTGAGGCCAGTCTGATCTACAAAGCAAGTTCTAGGACAACCAAGGCTGTCCAAGATTTTTGAGAAACCCTGTCTCAAAAAAATGTGGTGCATACTCAGAATTTTATTCAGTTGTATGCAGAAAAATAAAATTTGTAGGAATATAGTTAGATTTTGAAAGTATAATACTATGTGAATTGATTCAAGCTGAGAAAAACAAAAGAAGGCATATTCTCCTTTCTATGTAAATCCTAGCCTATAAAGCATACATGTATATGTATATATGTGTGTGTGTTTTAAACACATGCACAAGCAAGTTTAGTTATAGTCTAAAAAATCAAGAAACATTTACGTACTTAAAAGAACTTACTTTCCAAGGGCGAAGCATTCTAACTTCACAGTTGAACCTTTGGCTGCTGGAAGAGTTTCTGGAAACTGGACTTCTATTTTGGGTTCATATTCACCCATGACACCTGTGAATTCACAATACAAAATGGGCAGCGTCAATGTTTCTTTTCTATGTCATTCTGAATTATGTATCTCCTACGACATCACTGTGAACAAGACCTGATTTGGCTCCCTTTTGCCTCTACTGCAACTTTCAGTGGTTGCATAACTCACTTGCACTAACCCTGACCAAACATGTGCCCTGAATAACATTTAAGAACTCTGGATTCACGAAGTAAAAAAAAAAAAAAAAAACTTCAATATGCAAAACATTTTAATAAAAAATAACTGTAATTCTATACTCAATGTGAATATTTCTATTTAAGGTGACAGCCACAATGTATTAATAATCCCTGAAATTTTTTTTAAGCTACAAAGATGATAGTGGGGGATTTGCTAAATGGTAAACTGGTCACATACATGCCAATGTTAAACATATTAAATGGTTCCCTATTGACAAAACATAGTGATTTAATTCGTGGGGACATTCTGATTCCATTATATCTGATTGGAAAGTGCTTCCAAATTTGTGTTCAAGTAATATGCTGTCTGAGATGTGATTTAGTTTTAATAGATATACTACTGAGAGTTATAAATTGGCACCCTCTCGTTTTCCTCTCCAAAGTTGCATGTAGTCCATCTTGGGCTCAAACACACTGTGTAGCCCACAATGACCTTGAACATCTGAACCTGTGATTGCCCTCAAATCTCAAAGGCTTATAACACCACACCCATTTATGCAGTCCTGAGGATCAAACCCAGGGCTGTGTACAAGTTAGGCAAGAGTTCTACTAAGTCAGCTACAGCCAGAGCCCCTCAGTTGGCTTTCTCCTGTATCTCACTCTTCAGGAACGATCAGGAAGGTGATGCCACAGAACTTTTCTTTTACAATTTTAGTTTAGTGAGAGATTTTAGCTTATAATAAAATGTTCACAAATTTTAAACAACTTCAAGCTGACAAAAATAAATATAAATAAAAACAAGTGACTTCAGGGCATTCTATTGAGAAGGTCTCGTACCATCAGAGCGTAGCACCAAAGGGGTCGCAGAACCCAGTACTCTGGCATTTGTCACAGTGCTCGTCACCACACATGTGTAATTTCCCACATCAGATGGCTCCACCTTAGCTATGTAGAGGTGCCCTGTCTCTTGAGAGACAAATCTTCGACTGTCTTCTTCAACAAATGATGGATACTCATTGAAGACCCAAGCATATGATAGTTCTAACAAAAGTTAAGAAGAAATGCATTTCATTACTTAGCAAAATGTTCCATAATCAGAAGTGCACAAAATTACCTTTACATCAAGTGATGCTTTTCTTGCAAGTCATTCAGAAGAGCACTTAGCGAGATGATTCTGCATTCGCTTTATTTTTAGGATAGAGAACACTGTTGATGGGCATTCGAGTACATGCGGCACCCTTGTTTTCTTCCTTGTCCCTTTTCTAGGTTATGCTTTTATAAGCCTTGCTGGTTTTACTCTGGCTCCCTTTTAGTTTGTGTCTCTTTAACTCTACACTGTTCAGTTACCAATCACTCAATAGCAATTCCAGGCATCAAAGTCACCACAGCTCCTTAGTGTAACACATAGTGTTAATGAGTAACATATAGTGCCTCAATCTCAGCAGAAGTCCCTGTGACAAACTGCCAAATTCTTGGTTTCTCTGGCTTCTGGGTCTTTGAATATGTCATTCCTAGACCTACAAAGGCTTTTGTCTTGCTTATTCTTCCTTCCTTCTTTCCTTTGTTCTTTTCTTTTGTTTATACTAAATAGCTATATATCCATTATATATACTATTTCAAAAAGACATTTTATGCAAGTAAATACTATACTTTGACCATGTTCTCACATACACTACCTTTCCCTTTAGCTCCTCTCCCCTTCCCACTAGGTCACTTTTCCTAATGAGTTTCACTTCTACTTTCACGCCATATACACACAATGGCTTTATGTTTCCATGTGAAATCAAGGGTCTACAAACATGAGACCTTTACTCACTGCTCATAGGACTATAACTTCGTTCAGTCACCACGGAAATCAGTGTAGAGAAACTGCAAAAACCTAACAAAAGTTCTACCATCAGATCTAAAAATACTACTCTTGGGTATTTTCCTGTTAGACACCAAGTAAACATCACGGAGACATTGTTATACATCAATATTTTCTGAAGTATTATTTACAGTAACTAAGTTATGCCCATCTAGAGATGGATGTAGTCAGTAAGAAAATACGGTCACAACGGAATTTCTTATAAAGGAGAATAAAGCTGTGTCATTGGTTCTTTCTTTGGTTTCTTGCTCTTTGAGAACCAAACTTCATACAGCTGAGATAATGTCAAGTGGCTCATAATGTAACATCAGGAGGAGTCACCATCTCCATGGAGAAGTATTTCTTCTGCTTCCTTATCCTTCCTTGCAGCTCATGTACACAGTGAATCCTAAGAGTTAATTTGATTTTTCAGTGTGTGTGTGTGTGTGTGTGTGTGTGTGTGTGTGTTCATGTCTGAATGCAGGCAACTTCAGAGTCCAAAAGAGGACATCAGATCTCCTGGAGCTGGAGTTAAAGATAGTTGTGAGCTGTTTGACATGGGTGATAGGGACAGGACTCCAGGCCCAATGCAAGAGCAGCATATTTTTTTTAATTGCTAAATCATCATTTAAACCCTTACAGCAAACTCTGAATTTGTTCTAATGTAAGCATGTATCATCTAAGATGTAATGATTATTTCCCAGATTGTCCCTAGATATAACAAAATGATGCAATATTTTCAGTTTTATCTGTGGTGCTGGGAATCAAAGCCAGAAGCTGGCACATACTTCTAAGTGCTCTACATGAGTCACATTCTCAACTTTGATTTCAGTTTCAATCCAATTGCTTCTATTTCTACTTGGCAACTAAAAGAGTGAGTGCATTTAACAGGTCCTAAATAAACACTTGTTGAGTCAAATAAGAGTTCTATAAACTATGTGCAAAACTCTACTACGAGGGTCTTCACCAACCGCTGGCCAATGCAGACAGTAGTCTCCTAAAGAACTATATTCTCCTCTGCAAGAATGATATCTAAATAGCATTAGCTTGCTGTATTGTAGATTCTTAAGTTACTGAGAGCTAAGTGTTACTAGGGCATAGGTTCTGTGTTTGGATTGCTGGTTTCTTTCTTCTTCCTAGGCTCTGTTTTCTTTTGCAAGTACACTAACCTTACTGCACTGGATAATTCCAGTAAAGGTTATGAAAAGTTTTTTGAAAACATATGCTATCCATATAAGTTTAATGAGGTACAGGTAAAGTAGATTTCAAACACAATTACAAACTTAAAATATCTTTTATTTTTTTTGGAGAGAATGGACAATTACTTGATACCAATCATTGTGAAACGATGTATGAAACTTGGAAGAGTGATGCCATGCGTTGTGGGGGAGGGAAATATGACATTCTTTCGTTACTGAAAAATGTACATAAATGTCAAGAGAACACTCAAACACACACAGCTGAAAGCCCTCCAGGGATAGCACAGGCATATGAAAGACCAGCAGAAGCGGGAATATCTGCAACACGGGGTGGTAACGAGCCATGCTGATGACTACACTCTACCTCAACAATGAGAAAACACACTGCAAAGTGTAGGTTCATAAACACCGATTTCCTTTTTCAGAGAGTGATGAATATTTTAGGAAGGTCTAATTAAGCCACTGATGATATAGGAAATTCAAAAGTTGTTTGGCGAATTTTATAAAAAATATCCCAATGTTCATTTGTGTTAGTCCCTTGCCTACACCATGCTGCCTATTGCTCCCGTAACACCACAAAAATATCAGAGAAAAATAATTTTTAAAGTCAGGATAAGCTTGTTCTGCAGTGGGTGAAAGTAGAGCAGCAGCAGCAGCAAAAGCTATTTAGGGTCTTCCTGCTGGTGCTCAAGACATAGAATTAATAGAGTGGTCATCTCTTTATTGTTCAGACAAATTAAAACTTTGTTTCCAGTATAGGAATTGGGTCTGAGATCAGTGAGTTAGAAGCAGTTCAGGTGGTGACTGCCATGGCTATACCATCCACCTCTAGTATGCAAATAGAGGGGACATAAACTCCATTTTTTAAAGCAGTTTATCACAAAATAGGAACAATTTGAATAAACAATTCAGTGTAAGAGTCAGAAAACCTAACATGTGCAAGCCTAACATAAGCAAATAGTTTTAACACAAGGCTGTATCAATAATATGTATATGTAATGTCTTGGAATAAACACTGCAAGTGTAATTTTAACTTAAAATATTCACAGTAAAATAGTATGTATTACATAACTCCACTTACTGTTTTTCTTTTCATCATAAAAATACTAGAACTTAAAACAACACATTATTTTAATATATTAGAGAGAAGTGATGATTTCTGCGTCTGTCATAGTAATGTCTTAGTTATGAAAGCTAAAGAAAGGAAGTCAAACATGGCTGTGTATACCTCTGGGGTACTCTGGTAGACATGGGAGTCTCCCCTGCTACAGAGATGGTAAATAAATGTCACTTCTTCATGCATAGGTACTCTGGCCACAATCAAGTGGACCACTGAATTCACCGAGAGTGTTAATGCTGCTCATTCCTCCTCCAGGTAGGGATATCAATGCACAAATCTGGCTAGAACTCTCTACAGAGGAATGACCAAAATACTGTCAGATCTTTGTTGCAGTTTGACTCTTCTCTTTTTCCACAGATATATGAACCAATTCTCAGTCTGTTCCTCTTCCTGCCTCTAATCCCTCTCCCTTATGCTTTTACTGGTCCTTCCCAGTATGCTTTTTCAAGTCTGATCCTTTAATCTTATTTCAGTGTTTACTTCCTAGAAACCTGAACGACTTGGTTACTGACAGGGAACAACAGACTTCTTTGTATTTAAAACTGTCCTTTCCCTGTGATCCGGAGGGAGGGTCTATTCAGGATCACAGAATTCTTTTCCCAGGGATAATTACTCTTCTCTTAAATTTCCATCAAGATAATCCCCTCACCTCACTTTCAGGTTTTTCAAATATGCTGGCAGTTGTCCTATAAACCTGAAAAGCCCTTCAGTACCTCAATGTGAAACAGTGAAAGGGTCTCTGCCTCTGACACGGACACCAGTGGAAGAGGAAACTGGCTCACTTTTAAAGGAATGCTCGTCTCTGTGAAGTAAATTAGTAAACAGAAGGAGCAAACTCCTCCTAACCTGGACAGCAACCCCAAGAAGCTGCTATCACACTCTCCCTGTAGGAGTCAGTGTCATCAGGCAGACACAGAAGTTTACTGCAGACACCTCTGCTGACAGCCTATAAATGACGGAGACAAACCACAACCTTAAAGAGTCACCCAGCATTAATTTACATATGTTCTCCTCTAAACAATGCATCATATATATTTTACAGTATAAAAGGTGATTTTAAAGTTTTATAGACACTTCCTTTCTCTAACTAGCCTAGCAGTAAAGCTTACATAATTTAAAATTAGTTATACACACATACACACACGATATTGAATAATAAAATAGGACTCCTCAAGAAAATACTCAGAAATCCAGAGAATAATGATTACTGACCACCATCAAAGTGAAACAAGAAGAATAAATAGAAACACAGAGAGGGGCCCCTTGTAGCTAGAAGAGGAAATACTTAAAATAGACTTTGAGATGCTAGTAGAGGATGAAGAAGTATGTTCTTGGTGAGGTTTTCAAATATCTAAAGCAAAGCTCAAGAGTTGGGATGAGTAATAGCGTAGTGTGCCGAATAACTGAAGCCAGTACTTCATACCCAGATCTTCAAACCTAGAAATATATCAATAGACACAGAAAAAGGACTCTGCAGATGTAAGGAGCATAGTACACTGAGATGGAAAGATCTTCCTGGATTATCTGAGTGGGTCAAGAGTCATTGTAAGGATGATAACGAGCCAGGGGCAGAAGGATTACAATTGAACAGAAGAAATTCTGCCTATCAAAGCAGGAGTGAAAACCAGAGACAGATATTTTAGGATACCATGTCCTGGAAAAGGCTATAAATGCAAACTGCCTGTAAAGGCAAAAGGGCAAGTGATGGGAGCTCCCCACGGCTCCAGAAGAATAGCAGAAAAAAAATCCCTGCCCATATCTTGATAGCTAGCCAACAAAGCTGATAATTTGATTCTGGACTTCCAGATATCTGCATTGCTAAGTATACAAAAACTTGTCACTGCAGCTTGGGGGTAGCTATGCGCTGGGACACGGA